TTTTGAATTTTGAAGGCTAAAATCTGACAGCTGAAGTTCAGTATTAGTCTCCTGAAATGAAGCATGTAATGCTATGTGTAAGTACCATTATATGCTGAATTTCATGCTGTTCCTCGTTTCATATGGTTGAGTCTGACAATTGTGACTGCAAGTGTCTTGCAAGGAAGCACTCCTATTATCCTGTTGTTAACTTAAAATAGCACATTTCCCTATGCCCTGACTGTTGTGAGAGAAAGGGTTATATAGTGCTGCTTTTGCATTTCGTAGCATTAAGCTGTAACATCAGAAGCCTCCTCAATGCTCTTTGATCCAGAAAGCACCCATGCTTGGCTGAGCTTCTGGGTAACTTGTCCTTCAAAGAAGCTACTGCCCTCTTTCCTCATAAGGTTGGGGAGAGGTGTAACAAATACAGTTTTGCTGAACTTTCGTTCTAGCAACAAAAGAATGAGCTCTTACCATGGATAAATTTATAGGAAAAGAATATTTTTGTGAGCTAAAATGGTCTTTTAAACCTGTGTTCAATTTGCTGTGTAAAGTTGTAGGAAATGCAAAAATAAACAACCTAAAGCAGTTACTTTTAGACTCTGGCAACCAAATATACTGACTGTTGGTGTCCTGTGACATGACAAAAAGCTAGCAGTGGGAATAATGGGTAGCTGTTTCACTGCAACCTGATGATACAGAGTTTGAAAAGGTCTGAACACTGCTCTATTTAGCTGTGAGGTCTCTTTATGAAATGTAGTGTCCTCTGCTGTTGTCGTCGAAGCCCAATCAGATCTCTGCTCCAGTTGCTTGTACACATATGCAAATGGCTGTTGTTGTTGTAGCAGAATAATGTTTTGAGATGATGTGTGTGCTGTAGCCTTACTGTACCAGCACTGAAATGTTTCAGGGACAAAATAAAATCAGGTATTCTCTTTGGGAGAGGTGCGCTTACTATCCTTTAGGATATTCTTACCAGACAGAGATAGTTTGTGCTAGTAAGAGATTGAGAACAAGTATTTTTCTTTCAGTTGCAGTAGCAATTAGGAAATAATGTACATAATTTTGTGTCTATTCCAAAAAGGCATTGTTGAAGGGCTCTGAAAAAAATAGGCCATCAGGCTGGCTGTTTGCATTATCAGTCTGAATGACTGGAAAAATTGGATTACTTATATGACACTGAGGGAGCACTGAACTCTGTGGTGCTTGCCTTAGGGACAGTTCAGGACTCTGCATACAAATATTACCTGCTGGCCAGTTTAGCTTGATCTGAGATCAACTAGAGTCTTAAAGATGTCTATAGGAAAATGTTAGTTCAGTTGTTCACTTGATGATTAGCCTGCTGTGCTTCATAGAAGTACACTAGAAATTAGAGCCAAACCCAGAACTCGCATCTCTAGTAAATGAGGTCTGAGCACTTGCCAGGTGGCAGTTTTGGACAGGAGGCCTAGCAGGTTTTGTGTATGTGCTGGAGTCAGGTTTGATTCTTGCTCTTGCAGCTCATGCATGCTGTGTCCTCTGTGTGTGTGTGCCAATTTTTACTCAGCCCGTGCTAGAATCCAGTCCTTGCAGTTAAGATGGGTGAATGACTCTGCAAGTCAATTTGACTGGAAGGGTGTTGTGGGAATGGATATATTAGACGCACTTAACTAATATGGCAGCAATGGATCAAATCAGTAGGCTACTTTATTGAAAAAGAAAGCACGAGCATGCTCAAAATAGCAGCTACCTATTGTCATATTTCGGTATGTATGTCAATACTCTTATGGGTTGCTTGTTTTATTCTATTAGCATTTCTGGAGCAATTACTGTCATGGTATGGCACAGTTTAACCCTAACCAAAACAGAAAGCCAGGACAGTGATTCCCTTCCCCCTTGCATTCTCTTGCCAATGAATTTAAGTATGGTAGTGCTATATGGATGGTCTATTACTGCCCGGTCAGAAAGGTGAAGTGGTTTTAAGATAATTGGTAAGTGTCACTGTATAATTGGGTTATTGACCTAGGTGCTTTAGTGCCTTCTGTTCTAGGTTGGTCAATACTGTTCTGATTTGAACATAACTGGATTAGAAGTGCTGTTCGCGCTATTCCAAGGAGGCTGGGAATATATATGAAGTTAATGTAGAAATCTTATTCAGCATTTTTTCTTTAAGCAAGCTAGAAACTTGTGATTAAAAAAAACAAAACAAAAAACAAAACACGAGGGATATTGAGCAATGTTTTGTGTGGGTTTTTTTTTTTTTTTTTTTTTTTTGAGTGCTCTGTAAGGTCATCTAGCTCCCTTAGGGGTTCAAATAAAAGCAGTAAGAAAGATCAAAGTTGGAAAAGCTCAAAGCAGCATTGTTTCCAACATGAAGTCAGGTTGGCTGCAGCTCTGTCTAGCTGAGTCTTGAAAATCTCCAAGGATGGAGATTGCACAGTCTCTGAGCGACCTGTTCCAGACTGGCACACGAAATCCTAGCGTAAGGGACAGGTTGTTTTGGATCTCTGGCTTGCACCAGCCTGCAATTTCTAGTTTCCAATGTAGTCATCTGACCAACTCCCTTCCCCTGAGGCTGCAGTGCCTGTATAGCAGTCCTAAACATTGATTTTTATCATTGGTGTGTTAAGTCTTGTTTGCCTTGATTTTTGGAGAGGGGCCAGCAGGTATTTTATTTTGCAAAATGATATGCACTAAGCACAAACTTCTGAGTAATTAAATTATCTTGACTTCAGTACAAAAGAGAATAGTTTGATAGAAAATGATGCTACTTAAGAACAGGACAGTGCATTTTAAAATGTCAGTCAGATTATTCTCTAGAGTTCAAGAGCTTTCCTTGCCTAATTGTAAAATACAAATACTTTTTGCCTGTTTGGTCTAGAAATAGTCAATACGAGGAAGCATTCTGTTTCCCTGTATCTTATTTTGAAATCCTTTCCTGTATATCATTGCACTCGTTCTCCTGCTGTTAGTCTAATGCAAAAGATATGAAAGAGCATCTTGAAGTAGTCATAAGAACATGAAATTGCTAAATATTGGAGCATTTCCTAGACCCTGGCACCTTTTGTGGAATTGCCTCCTTTGATATGAGAAGGTACTTGATATCTAAAATCTGGCCCGGATTGGAGCTAATTAATCATCTCTGAAGAATATTTGAGTACAAAGAAGGAACTCTTGTACTCGCCCTTTGCCTTGATTGTTGCTCAAGGACAAAAGGTGGATGCACAGCACTGTGATCAGGCCAAAGGTTCATATTTAAAAGGAGAAAAGCAAATGCTGAGGGTGAGAATGCTTAGCGCCCGCTGTGTCCATGTGCGGTGTGTGTATTCCCCAGCTTGTCCAGCCAGTCGACAGAGCTTCTGCCAGAGAGAGATGGCAGAGGGAGGGCTCACGTCCTGGACTGCAGTGAAATGTGCTGGGATGAACCCAGTTCCCGGGGATGTGCAGTGCAGCCGAGGGGAGCAGTGGAGCCCCACGCTGCTTTGTGGTGCCCCCTCCCGGCAAGCTTTGTGGCAGTTAAAATTGGTTTGTGCCTCATCCGCCCGAACAATTTAGCCTCATTATATAGGTACTTGTGAAACCTGTGTATCTGCTGAAAAAGGTTTTCAAAATTAACTGGTGAGCTCAGGAAAATGACAGGGCCTAACTGTAAGGAAGAAGCTGGTTTTTGTAGACTGTTCAGGAGGTGAGCCATGACCCCTGGACTTTACTGGTAGAGTCTGGCTTACGCGTGCCCTTTCCTTGCTATAGCATAGTCTGAGGAGATCAGCTACATCCATGCTGCATGATGTATTGTTCACATTTGCCTTGTGCCCCAGGCGCCAAGACACAAAGAAGCCCAACAAAATACAAGCAAGTTCAAAGTTTCTGAAGTAACAAGAGCTACAATTACCATTTTTATTTTAACGTGATAATGGTGGCACATATTTTGTCTGGGTGAATGACACAGGAAAAGTGCAAAGCCTCTTTCAGAGAGAGTTGGAGGGCTCTCTGGCACAGAGGAGCAAAGTTGGTGCAGCCTGCTGCAGTGTTACATGCTTGGACCAGGTTTGGGAGCAAATTATCCTGTCCAATTTGCTTGGATTTTCTTGAGAGAAGTCACTGCATTGCTACCAGGTTTTCCTTCCGGAGTGAGCTAGGCTTTTGTGCTTTGTCACTGGCAAGGGGACTGGTGCTGGGAGTGAAAGAAGCAGCTACTCAAATATGGCATAGCTGCTTCTGTGGTATAAAGGGTCTATACATAAAGCATAAGTCCAGTGTTGCTGTAATGATTATTTGAGCACTGGAGCTGCTGTGTCTTAACCCTGGGTGACATTATATAGCATCATTTGGATGCTGCTTTATTTCACTGTCTCTTGTAGGATTTATCTTATACTTAATGTAGGTTCCTTTTCATGAGGGCTACCATTTGATGGGGTTGATCTAGTACTGAACACAGTGGGAATCATATTGCTGATTAGGACTTGTAGATACAGCAGTGAAAAAATGTAACTTAAAGCAACATGTTGTAATATTTTTCTTCAATGCTGCTTCAGTTTAGGGAATTGGTGTCTGGGAACTTGATCAGGCTCCGTGACCTACACTTGGATACTCTTGACTGACTTACTTGATTTAGACAAGTTACTCTTGTAACTTTGTCAGGTACTCTTGAATTAGACAGTGGGGCTAAACCACAACACATACTCTGTCTTTCTTTGACTTACTCTGTATGAGAGCCAACTCTTCGTCCTTTTTGCCCTTATTTTCCTCACACTGAAATAAGAGGGTCTATACTATACCAGTATTTAAATACCATAAAGTTAATGCAGTGGTGGCTGTTGCATGCATCTTTAACATAAATGCATTGGTACAGGTGGTGAAGGGAGACATTTTCAGTCTCTTTTGATCTGCAAACTTTGTGCCTGCTTAGGCCTTCAGGAGAAAAACAAAAGTTTTTAATGTGTAGCTAAGCTGAGGACACTTGCATAATGATGAATTTTACATTCCTGGCAATATATGAAGTTAAATAATTAATTACAAATATTGCTTTGTCTTTTCAGTACATCAACTGTGGTAACCTGGAACAGCTATTAGACAGTAACCAGCATCTGCCCTGGACAGTGAGGGTGAAACTGGCATATGACATTGCTATGGGAATCAGTTATCTTCACTATAAAGGCATTTTCCACCGAGATCTTACATCCAAGGTACCATTTATAAAATTAAGGGAACTTTTTAATGAAGGTACTATAACTGGTTGTTTGGTTCTTTCTCCTCCTTCCAGCAGAGAATTGCTATTATATAAGGTGTGATCTAAGACATTTTGAGAAAAATTGAAACACAGTTTATAGGATTAAAACTTTCCTCAAAACTTGTTGATACTTTGGGATGGGAACTGAGGAAATAACTATCCTGAAGGAAGGTCATTCCTTAATTGAGTTCAGATTAGGATTTCTCAGAAAGCAGCTGCAGATTTTTTTAGTATTGAATTATGGTTCAGTGAAGTATTTAAATCCCTGAATAATTAAGCATAACAATCTAACATTTGGAACAGGTCAATCATATAAAGAACCCAAATTGAGGAGATTATTACAAACACACTTTAAAATCTCCTTGTTGTTTTTGTTTCCCCATGTATTTCACAAATCTTCTTCAGTAGGAAGAGTGACCTTTCATTTCTAATTCAGCATTAAGGGTTGTCCGCAATCCTGGTTTATTTCTTTCATTTCTAAAGTCAGTAAGATCAAAACAGTTCACCTAAGTGTTTCAAATTTCAAAATTTCCTCCAGAATGATATTGCAGTGGCAGAGTTGTCAATGGACATAGGTTTGGTTTTTTTTTAACTGCTTTGGTGACAACTTGTATGAATTTAGTAGGCTGAAGTAGCTTGCTAATTCAAGCTCAGCTAGAAATATTGACATAGGAGCACTAAGCTCTGTGAACAAATTGCCCCACTATTCACACTGGGTCTTGCCATCCGTTGCAGCCTGTGCTGAGGGCTTTGCTGTCCTGTCTGTCCTGTTGTCTGGAGCTAATGAGCTAGTTTAAGCTCACTGGGGACTTGCAACATGAAAGTACTCCACAACTGTTCTTGGGAATTGAGTTCTTGGGAATCTTGACTTCTTAATGTCACTTCAGTCAAAAGCATCCAGAAGAATATTATCTTAGCCTAAAAGGAACTATTTTTTAAGATTAGAAACAGCTTTTAAAAATAGAAACACAGCACAGTGTGTTTGCAAATGCAAGTGACTACTAGTCCTCCACCCAGTTTTAGGGTTTTTTTTTTTTAAAGCTACCTCAGTGCAGTGTTCAACAAATGAAGAATGTGCATTTAACCAAGGTGGGGCAGGGGGGCAAGTTCAACTGGTAGGTGAAAGAATATTTCAGTGAAGTCATAAAATACTTCCTTGGGTGTCCTTTCAAGTGAAAGGTGCTGAATTCTGCAAGGAAGAATATCAAATTTATGAAAAATGCCCACATTTGGAGTCATGTCACTTCAACATGATACACTCAGAAAGCTCAATTTCAGTCACCTTGGAGTGTGCAGATAAGACATACGTAAAAATAACTGAAGAGATAACTTGGTGTTCCCCTTTTTTTTTTCAGTTCGGGATGTATTTTAGTACATTTAAGAGTGGGGAAGTAGAGTTACTGCAAGGAACCAAAGTAACTTAAAGAGAACTCTGTGCCTGCAGCATTTATCGTAACATGTACTGTGATGGCTAGTCATATGAAAATCCATTTCCTGAGACCTCTGTGAATGCCTTTGTTCAAAGCTTTACATAATCATATGTCATTCTCCGGAGCTGCCCTAGCAATACTTCAGTATTATCTATTGTTGAATATCAATTGTTTAGAGAACGCACCTGCTGGGAGGCGTGCATGATTTCACTGCAATAGCAAACTCATCAGTGGCCACAGGAAGTAGTAAGGGTTATTTAAAAACAAACAGCCAACAAACTAAACCCTAAGAATTTACTAGCAGTTATATTTGGATGGTTCTTAGCACTAAAGGTGTAGTATCTGTGTGGGTCACATTGGAAGCTGTCAGGATAAAAGCTTAAGTCATTGGCTATATTCTATATTTTCCAGTTTCTTGGGTTTTGGTGTTCTTTTTTAATTTAATTTTTAAAATTTTTTGAGGTGATGTATGCACTTGCTTGTTCTGTTTGGGAAGGGAAGTATACGAAACACCTGGCCTTAAATCCCTGGGTACTTGTGAATTTTATTAGTGTATTATTGTATCAATGAAATATACTCTAAAATTAAATCTGTTGGGCAAATGACTCTCCTGTTGGGCAAATGTTTGCCCTGCTGGCTGGCTAAGTTTTAAAGAAGTCTCTTTGTTCCAAAGCAAAAAAATTAAGATAATAACCATAGCAAAAACATGTCACCAAAATTTTCAACTCTCAGACTGTGGCTTTTGGCTGCTGCTTGAGGAGATGCCTTGTATTTTACCAGGTTTGTAGTGGTGGTGGGATGAGTTGTCTTCATTCTTACTAGTAAATAGTCAATGTGTGAGCAAGCTGAAGGAAGATGTGAGGGGCTCTTTACTTGGGAGAGAACTTGTGATCTGGATTGAACAAGGGCAGATTCAATACTGTTCTATATTGTCCTTCTTTCTTCGGTAAACTTTGGTAACTGATGTGATGACTTTATTAATCAAATGAAGGCAAAGACAAGGATTTAGACGTCTGTAAAAGTCAGAACAGACACTGAGTTTGCAGGATGGGAGAGTGAGGTATTTTTCTAGGAAACTTGCTGGCATTGACTGAAGTATGAACAGAATGAAACCGAGACTTTCTGTGCAGGAATGTCTCCATGCTTTACCTGTTAAACTTAACACAATAGCGCACTGCAAATTATCCCTCTAACATTAATTTTACTATAAAAATTATTGGGGATTAATTTAGACCCGAACTTCTGCCTTTGTTCTTCTGTTTCTGGCAAACCTCTAATTTCTGCAGCTTCCTGGAGCAGGTGGCATGAATACACAGTTTATTCTGTCAGTTATGGCAGCAGAGTTGTCTTGTTCTGACAGTAGCATTATATGTCTATGTACTGGATGCATAAAAACTTAAAGAAGGAAAAGTTCCTGTCCCATGCCAATCTAAGATTGAAAAATAAGTGGTTTTGGCAATCAGTATACAGCAGGGTGATCTCTCTTCCTAATTGCGCCATGGGAAGAGTAGCAGAACAGCATTGATACTGCAGAATGCCAGAGGGAAGAACGGTAGAGAAGAGTAGATGTAGGTCATTATAGTCGATGTGGCAGCCCATGGGGGATGTCAGCCCTGACATCCCACTGGTGCCCTTCCCGCTGCCCTTCTGTCAAAGAAGAGAGTGTGCTGCCCAGAGAGCTGGTACTTACCCACATTGCAAGCAGCTCAGTCCTTGGGCTCTGGGTTTGGGCTGCTGTAGCTGATCAGGCTGATCTGCCCTGATCAACAGCAACAGCCTAATTTGACTCTGTCAGAAGGTAAGAGTGGTTGGATTGGCTGTTTCCAGCCTGCAGATAGTAGGTGTGTGGGCAAGGTGACTTGTACGTTTTGTAAGCCAATAAATGTGGTGTTCTCACTTTTGACTTGTCATAAAGAGACTTAGAGAGAGATTAAGCCATAGATGGATTATGACAGTCAGCCTCATTGGCTCATTCCCTGTCCCCTATCCATATCACTGCAAGCGCTGTGAATCGTTTCTTATTTAGGGCTCGTTGTAATGTGCACAAGGAGGATTTGCATCCTGGAATCATGAAGGTTTTCTTCATCTTTCAGTGGTTCTCAAGGAGGTCCAGTTACGAATTTTAACTCTGACAGTCTTAGTCATGGAAGATGCAGTCATTAGAACAGAAATCATAATGTGAAACATTGGAAGTGTTTCAACAGGAGCCAGTGGATTGTGATAAAGTTTTTCTTAATCTGACTTGGTTTTGCAACATTCTGTCTGTTGTAACCTACAATTAAAATAACAGTGTTTAGGAAGGCACAGGGAAGAAGTGTCCAGCCTGCAAAAAGAATATAACAAAATCCTTTCGTACCTCGCCCCTTAAAACAAATATCTTACTACTACACAGAAAGTTCCTTCAACACCTTGTTTACACTGTATTTGCATTGCATTCAAACCCTGCTCTGGAAGCACTGTAGATTTCCTTGGCAGCTTACACCAGCGACTGCCCTAATATCAGTGAATTTATTCTTATAGTATCTCTGAAATGAGGGAGATGAATAAACTCAGTCTTATCAGAACAGATTAAAAGCAAGAATGTCAGTAAATATTTGGTATATGTTTTAAGACTTCATTTGGAGTATTTGTCATTTTACACGTTTAAGTTCAAGGCGATATGCTCCCTGACCTCAGGGGCAGTTGGAAGCATTACAGCACTTATAAAATAGTCAGGTTTGACCCCCAGAGGCATAGAAAGCACAAGATTAGCAACAATCTCTGAAAGATTTTGTTAAAGTAGCTTCCTTGTCACAGAATCCTCCTGTGATGCTGAGGAAGGCCAGAATCCAGATCCTGGGGCAACATTACAATAGTCTTAACCACAAGACAGAAGACCTTCATTTCCAGCCCAGCCTTTCTTTTTCATCTCTTCCCAGCCTTTCTTTCACCCTACTGTTTCTGTGGCAAGAGTGGCCAGAGTCCTGAAAATAGCAGTTCAAGTGTTTTATGTACAGCCCCAATTCACTGTCAGTGTGAATCCAGTGTGTGCACTAAAAGACGTGGGTGCCAGGTGGAAAAATGTCTGTGTGATCATGTAATTAAGGACTTTAATGCGTATGCATAAGGGAAAGAATGAATGTTCTCACAGGAAGTTTTAGATCCCATCTTTTGTGCAATATTAATTTTTTTGATGTAGTGTATGTTGTGTGCAACTTCCAATTTAAAAAAAAACTGGAAAAAACCAATGGCATTACACATTTCATTTGCAGGGTTAGAAGCTTGAGATTCATGGCAGAGGTGTCTGCTGCTTTAGTTAATACAGTAACTAATACATGAAGTATTTTTAACAGTAGCAGTAAATACTAATTAATTAGTATTACTAGTACACATTGGCTGGTTTTGCTGCGGAGCAGGAATAGACAGAGGAACAAGACAGACTCCTTGGCAATGAGAAGCGAACATTTAGGAGTCTGCCCATTTTTCCAAGACCGATCATATCTGCTCTGTAACTATCCAATCCTTTCTGCTAGCGTACAATGCCAGC